TTCATTCATTCATTCAATTTTTACCCCGCCCCTCTAGACAACGTCTACTCGGGGCATTTTGCATCTTTTCCATGTAGATTTTTTTTTCCAGTATATTCGTTCCATCTTCTCTTTAATTTTATCCTGGTCAGTTAATAGAGTCTCCTGTTGAACTTTCATTATAAAATAATAAATCAACCAGACTACATGGGATGCAACTACAGCTTCTTCTTTTTGAGCTACAGAGACTGAATACACCTAAAATTTAACAAAAAATATGCCAAGAAAAAAAAAGGAAACAGTGGTCCATAAGATACAGGGTCATCATGAACAGAAAATCCCCAACCATGTCAAATTGCCTCTACATCTCTGCTAAAAAAATTCAAGTTAATTACGTGTTGTTACGAATCACAAATTTCTAATGTTTTTCATTTTTTACTTCTAGTGTGAGAATAAGATGCGATCGTTCACATGTCCTCTTCCCAAAGGAAGTCAGCAATCGTTCAGCATAAATATTAATGCTAACATATCATGAATAATGATGCAGAGAATTGTTGACATAAACAATTACTGATAATAATGTTGTTCAGTATCGTTTACTTGGGTGTGGATATGTGGACTAGTATCAGTGAATTAATTGCTCCCTGTGAATCTTTTTCCTTGCAGCGAATTTCACAAAAAGACTGGGTTGTAACTGATCCATCAGTGCACCTATGAAGTATTTAGTCTTTGGGTTGATTCTTTGGGCTGCTGCTTCTGCAGGTAAGCAAAAAAATAACTCTGGGAAACTTTGGCGCAATGGATCCAGTGCTCACCGGGAACAGAGCCCTGGGAACTCTAATTAGGAAGGCTGATACCATCGCCTGTCATCACCATAAAGTTCTCTTGTTCCCTCTGAGTTTGGCTGCACTGTTTCACTATAGCTTGGAGGTACAGATAGATTTTCTTGAATGGGCAGTCAAGGTCCATCAGCCACAGGAACTAATGTTGATTCAGAGCATCTATCTCAGTATTGTCAACTGGGAGCAGTTCCTCAACGTTTTAGGCAGAATTCCTTCCCATCTCTACCTAGATATCTCTGGTATCTCTTAGCCAAATACGAGCCACCCTTAACCTCACTTAGCTTACCCAATCAGGCAAGACTGTTTGTATTCACTGAAGTGTAGTCAGTTTGTGACTGGCTGCTGATAGAGAAAGCAGAACTGTTAATATGAACTGCCTCTATTTCTGAATTTTACATGTGAACATGGCTCTGAGGTAAAGGTAAACGTTCCCCTTGACTCACTTAGCTTACCCAATCAGGCAAGACTGTTTGTATTCACTGAAGTGTAGTCAGTTTGTGACTGGCTGCTGATAGAGAAAGCAGAACTGTTAATATGAACTGCCTCTATTTCTGAATTTTACATGTGAACATGGCTCTGAGGTAAAGGTAAACGTTCCCCTTGACAATTTTTGTTCAGTCATGTCCAACTCTAGGGGGCGGTGCTCATCCCCGTTTCCAAGCCATAGAGCTAGTGTTTTGTCCAAGTGATCACATGGCCGTGAGCATGGCTCTGAAGACTAGGCATGTTTCCTTCCAAACTTGTAGTCCATAGACGTAACTATAACAAGCTTCACATTAATCTGATCTAGGGTGGGTCTTCTGATATTCATGAATTAAAGACTGCTTGGTCTTCTGACCCTGCAGCACAGGCTTCTGTGGTTTAGCCCGCAGCACCACCACATAGCTCTGAAGGCTAGGAGTATTTCCTTCCAAACTTGTAGTCCATAGGAGTAACTATACCAAGCTTCACATTAATCTGATCTAGGGTGGGTCTTCTGATATTCATGAATTAAAGGTGTACACAGGTTTTCAAATGTGTGTTTAATACTGTATGTGTGTTCCAACAGTAAAACAGAGTTCTCAGACAGGAAGCTGTCAGAAGATCTTTACCTATCTCTCATTTCCTCCTTTGGATTTCATAATGACTCACCAGGCAGGCTGATGTAATGACAAACAAGATTAAGGCTATAACTATGTTGTAAAGTTAATGAGATATTTAAAATGATACCTAATGTCAAGCAGGAATAGACATATGTTTCAACCTTCTTCATTTACAAATGGGCGGTCCCATTTCATCAGCTGCCCTTCCCTCACACATCTATCATCCCACTGTCTAGTATAGAGAACCAAGGTGGTGTATTGGTAGAAGGTTGGACTAGCGCTTCATCGAGCCAGCTTCTGATCCCAACTGAGCCATGCAAACATGCTGGATAATTTTTAACCACTCACTGCCTCTCAGCCTGACCTAACCCCAAGCAAAGGGGAAGAGAGACGTGTACACCATTTTGATCTCAATGGACAAAACAAAGGATATAAATATAATTAACGAAAAAATGAATACTGTAATGTTTTGCTTTGTTTTGCTTTGCAGTTGTTGCCCAGGGTGGTGTGGGGGACCGGATTATTGGTGGATACGCTTGCCCAAGTAACTCCAGAGCTTTCCAAGCAGCCCTTGTGAGAGGACGCAAAGGCAACTGGAACATCTACTGTGGAGGGAGTTTGGTGCATCCATGCTGGGTGCTCTCAGCAGCCCATTGCAAACCCAGGCCAGGGTGAGTCAAGGCAAGGACTGGAAAGGTGGGGGTGGCAGTGGGAGGGAAGGGGAAAGAAATGTATTTTTGGATGACAAGTAATAGCTTCACCTTTCAGCAGCCCTCCCCAACCAATACAGTGGTGCCTCACTTAACGACGATAATCCATTCCAGGAAAATCGCTGCTAATCAAAAACATCGTAAAGCGAAATTAAAAAACCCATTGAAACGCATTGAAACCCATTCAATGCAGTCCAATGGGCTGAAAACTCACTGTGCAGCGAAGATCCTCCATACGGCGGCCATTTTTGGTGCCTGTATAGCGAGGAATTGGTCCCTAGAAAACAGCGGGGGGCCATTTTGAAAGCCGGCAGCCATTTTGAAGCTGCCAATCAGCTGTTAAAAAAACATTGTTTTGCGAAGAATCGGTTCCCAAAGCAGGGAACCGATCATCGCAAAGCAAAAAACCCTGTTTAAAACATCGTTTTACGATCGCAATTGCAATTGCAAAAACTTTGCCGTGAAGCGGATTCGTCGTAATGTGGGATAATCATCAAGCGGGGCACAACTGTATGGCATCTCTGTGGCAATTCACTTGTACATCCCCTCCATAAATTATTGGACTACTTTACTCATCATCCCCAGCCCTTTGTTCTGTTGGCTGGGAAAGGCTGGAGTTGGAACCCAACAACATCTGGAGAGCATTAGTTTGGAAAAAGAATGCCATACAGATTGATAAGATGACAACTACTATCAGTGAAATCTAGTTGGGGTGTTTCCTTGTCATTGAAAGGACCTCCTGAAAGGAGCCTACATAAAGCCCTTGTCATTATTATTCTGGCCAGAGGTCAAATTATTTTATTTTCCCCATAATTTCAGAGACTACTGATGGAGAACTTTGAGAAATTAGTCTTTTTGATTACAGCTCCTTCAGATCTCACAACTACGAGTTGTAATCCAGGAAAGTAACTTTTTCAAACTAACATTAACATCTTACCACCTCTTCAAATCTTCCCTCACAACGTGTAGCAACCACAGATTTTTTTTAAAAAAAAATCAAAACATTTGGATTGTGAGGAGAAAGGGATGCTAAGAGTGGGGGTAAAGTGTAGTTAAGTTGCCTTCTGTGATCTCCAGAGGGCACAAGGGGGACTTTTTCAGCAAAAGAGAAGAAGAAGAAGAAGAAGAAGAAGAAGAAGAAGAAGAAGAAGAAGAAGAAGAAGAAGAAGCAGAAGAAGAAGAAGAAGAAGAATTTTGGAAGGATATGGGGGCCACATTTGGTCCCTGTGACATGCCCTTTGCCCTTTGCCCACTGGTGTTCCACATAATCCTGAGGCTTTTGTTTGGGGACTCATTATCAGGATGGGAAAGAAAATCTCAGATGCAGATGCATTAGCTGGTCAAGCTCACCGGAGTTCTTGTTGGCTTCTGAGAAGGCGCACTAGATGACCTGATGCTATGGTAAAGAATGCGTCTGCATGGCCATCTTGTCTACTATGCCTCAATCTGAGGACGGAAACTCTTGCCCACAGACACTCAGGCCTTAACCTTAAGGCATCTATCTCTGTGGTAATCCACTTGTACATCTGTTCTCCTTCCACACCAATCAGTGAGTTTTCTCTTTTAAAAATCTACTCTTGATTTCACATATAAATATATATGTTAACATAATTTTTATTTTTTAAAAAATCACATTTCTAAACATTTCCCCTTCCCAAACTATATTTCCTACTCCATTTCCTCTCAGAATAAAAACTCCTAGGCGTGTTTTGATGATTTTTTTAGCTGAAAACTATGCAGCAACATTCTGAGAAATGAAAAATACAGAGCTCAGAGCCAAACTGCATGATACAGCTAGCACATCATTAGAAACAATGCTTTTTTAAGTGAGGAAAAACATCTATTAATGATAGCATGTGCTCTCCCTCGCTTCCATATCTTGAGTTCCAGCAAGCATTGACTCATTGAATTTTTGGTGGTTAGCAAGTCAAACACAGGCTAAAATTTTAAGCCTGATTCATTGGCCCCAAATCTATGTGGAAACTGCACTTTAATTAGAGGCTAATTGGAAAGAATGTACTGAATATTTTCCTTTTGTATTCCATTTGGCTTTAAGATCCAATCAGCACTTTAGTCTGGAATGTATGGATAAGGACAGGCTGTGTTGGAATCTGCAAAAGTTACATTTCCTCACGCATCATTGCTTTCCAGTGTTATTTGTTCTTATCCTATTTTATCTTTTGCTTCACATTCCTACAGAATGAAGGTCTGCCTGGGGAAGCATAACCTGAAGAAGGTTGAAAACACAGAACAGTGCTTGGATATTGCTGAAGTTAAAGTACACCCAGAGTATGACCGGAAAAAAAATGACAAGGATTACATGCTCCTCCGGCTTAAACCTTGTGCCAAGATTTCAGATGCTGTGCAGACCGTTCAGCTTCCTTCGGGTTGCCCTAATGATGGGAAGCGGTGTACCGTCTCCGGATGGGGCACCACAAGATCACCTGCAGGTATAGAATCAAGCTCTTGAAAGCTCATAAAGTCGGAGATAGTTGCTCTTTTTATGACTACCATTCCCAAAATCCTCCAGCCATCAGAATTTGAATAATGTCCATGTAATATGAGGGATGCTGGGAGCTGTAGTGTAGAACAGTAATTTTCATGGCTTAGGGAGTGCAAAAGGGGTGCTCTTTGTTTCATGGAACTCTGCGAAAAGTAGCTCAGTGGTTTAAGTCTTTGGCTGTGGAGCCAGAATTCCCCACTGTGCCTCCCTGATAGGGGCTAGACTCTGTGATCCATAGGATCCCTTCCGCCTCTGCAATTCTAAGATATATTACAGTGGTGCCTCTCTCGTTTCGTTTAGTCGTTTAGTCATGTCCGACTCTTCGTGACCCCATGGACCAGAGCACGCCAGGCCCTCCTATCTTCCACTGCCTCCTGGAGTTGTGTCAAATTCATTCTGGTAGCTTCGATGAGTTGAATTCCCCACTATGTGCCTCCCTGATAGGGTCTAGACTCTGTGATCCATAGGATCCCTTCCATCTCTGCAGTTCTAAGATATATTATTAAGTTGTTAACAAAAATGCTTTATTATGCTTTAATACCAAAAGACTGCAACTTATTTAACATCTTGACCCTCTGCTATGAGCCACATGTTTTTACTTCTACATATATTATTCCAGTCTGCCTCTTAAAGGGGAACGTTCGGCCCTCCAAATTATGACTCTCACAATCTCTTCCCATTGGCCATTGTACCAGCTGGGGATTCTGTGTACTGAAGCCCAAAGCTTTGAATGGAGCAAATTTCTGCACCCCTACCTTAATGGAGTTTTATCTGCTAAGGACTCAATTGGTCAAATCCAGAACCCAAGACTCCTCCTGTGCCTTTGAGAGTTAAAGTAGTTATTTTTGTGAAACAATCTAAGGTCTAGCAACATATTTCCCTTTTTTTGTAAAATGATGGGCATTTGCTTGTTCACTTTAAAAAAAATTTGAGAGCTATGTGAATTTTTTTTAGCCATTTTCCCTTTTTTTGAAAACGTCCTTTGCATTTTGTTTTTAAAAAAATAAAAATAATAAAATGTGAAAAGATTTTGTAAGATGTTGCTCATGCTTCATTTCTAAGGTCTAGCAACATATTTCCCTTTTTTTGTAAAATGATGGGCATTTGCTTGTTCACTTTAAAAAAAATTTGAGAGCTATGTGAATTTTTTTTAGCCATTTTCCCTTTTTTTGAAAACGTCCTTTGCATTTTGTTTTTAAAAAAATAAAAATAATAAAATGTGAAAAGATTTTGTAAGATGTTGCTCATGCTTCATTTGTAAAGTAGAGTTTGGCCTTCCAAATTATGACTCTCACAATCTCTTTCCATTGGCCATTGTACCAGCTGGGGCTTCTGTGTACTGAAGCCCAAAGCTTTGAATGGAGCAAATTTCTGCACCCCTACCTTAATGGAGTTTTATCTGCTAAGGACTCAGTTGGTCAAATCCAGAACCCAAGACTCCTCCTGTGCCTTTGAGAGTTAAAGTAGTTATTTTTGTGAAACAATCTAAGGTCTAGCAACATATTTCCCTTTTTTTGTAAAATGATGGGCATTTGCTTGTTCACTTTAAAAAAAATTTGAGAGCTATGTGAATTTTTTTTAGCCATTTTCCCTTTTTTTGAAAACGTCCTTTGCATTTTGTTTTTAAAAAAATAAAAATAATAAAATGTGAAAAGATTTTGTAAGATGTTGCTCATGCTTCATTTGTAAAGTAGAAAGCAGTATGTAAATGTATAGATTATACAGAGAGAAACAGACAGAAAGGTGCTGCTAGAAATGCTCTCAGGATGGGCTGATCCACCCTGGCCCTTACAACATCGGGTCACTGACAAAGGATTGACCCAGTTTATTCCTAGAGTGGACCAAATAGTGGGACATGCCTTTGCATTTGGGCACTAGGACGGAAATTCTTCAAAGCTCCCGTTCTCTTTGAATATGTAGCTTCTATTTTTCCCCACCACTGACATCTTGTTATTTTACGTGTGTCTCCAGCACAGCTTCCAGCTCAGCTACAGTGTGCAGACGTCAACGTCATCCCGGAACAGAAATGCAATAAAGCATATCGTGGTGCTATCACCCCATTCATGGTGTGTGCCGGAGTGCCTCAGGGAGGCATCGACTCTTGTCAGGTGAGAGGAAAGCTGGCTAATTTATGGTCTGTGCAAATGGATACAGGTCCTCTTCTGAGAGGGGTGAGAAAAGATAGGTCAGACATCCAAGAACATGTGATACTCCAGATGTTGTTGGACTGCAGCTCCAGCATTTTTCCTCACTGGCCAGGCTGATAGAGACTTCTGGGAAATAGAGTTTGAAAGTGTCATAAGGGACCAAGGTTCCCTCTAAGATGCGCACCTTCGTGTATCCAGCTCCATCTCCCTCTGGGTAGCTTTCCGCCTCCTTCTCCTCCTCCATGCAGCGATCGTTTTCAGCACGCCTCCTCCTCCATGCAGCGATCGTTTTCAGCCCGTTTGGTTCCAAAGCCAATGGAACCCAGCACATGGGAGGGGTGTGTGGAATCACGCACGTACACCATGGCAAAGGCACATGAGAGAGAAGTGGAGCCCCACCCAGCGGGGCTGAAAATTAGAGGGTACGTTGCAAGTTGTTCTGGCACTATGGACTGGTTGAGAGACTCACAACTTGACAATCAGGGAACAGTCACTTTCTCTCCCTGTCTTTCCTCCATTGAATAGCGTTCCCTTCCCAATTTGGTAGCAACAGTCCAAGGCTTTTTAGAGAACCTACCCTTCCTGGAGATAACCCAGGAACTAAACATGAAAGCTTTTGTTTGAAAAATGAATGATCTAGAGGCCTTCTCTGATAAACATAACAAAACCAGTTATACTAACATATAAAGTATAAGCATTTACAAAGAACTGGAAATAACTAGTTGTGCACAACTAATTATTGTGTGTAGTTCCTTTTCCCATCAACAGTATATAACAATATGTTACATTACTAAACTTGACTCAGCTCGGTAACTTTTTAGACTATAATTGTGGTGGTGTGGTTCTAGTTATGGGGTACAGCTCCAGTAAAAACAGAAGATGATTCATTTTTCAGGTCCTGAGTTATGCTGTGCTTCCTGCTCTGCTATGCAGGTGGAAGGTGTTTTGGACTACAGGCCAATAAGTTTTCACATTCA